GAGAGAGAGAGAGAAACCGTCGATACGTGCTTTGGGATTTCATTCAATCTTAATGAGCGAGTCTGACACAGAATGTCGTAGAAATAGTAATCCGAGTGGTTTGCCATAGCCGATCGCGACTGACGTGGCTCATGAGATTCTTGTCATGCCATACTGACCCCAGATCAACCGTAATCGTGTGTTGGCATGTTTCATAGATTATCCGATCATGTTCGATATATAGATTGTCTGAGAAATGGGTCACCCATTTCAGATCGCAAATATTAGAAATCCAACCCTGGGACGAGTTGATGACCGATTTATAATTACTTTTTTTTATTTATTATGATAAAGATAAGGTTTAAGAGTTAGACCATTGGATTTTCGCGCTTTAACTTGTTTAACAATTAATGCAAAAAATTATGTCATTTAGTAATTCCACGGCTAAATGGCTTTTTTAATATAATTTTAAACAGTTTTAATTTTAATTCTCTCGGCTTCTCTCTTCTTTTTTCTTCTCGTTAATTATTCATGATTGTTAATATAGAAAAATGGTGAGAAAGTCGACGTTTATATTAAATTTTCAATGAAGGATTGAAAAGATTAATAAAATATATATTGAATGTGTGATTCAGAAGAGAGAAGAAATTTCGGAGAGAATTATTCCTGTAATGTTTTAAATTATTTAATATGTGATTTGCAAAATCAAATCTTTTAATTATGAAAAACTGGTCACTGGATTATTATTTCTTTATTAAATATTGTAGATAAGATTAATAATAAAAAGTTTAATAAAAGAAGGCCAATTTTTAGTATGGATTTTCATGACACTATGTAGTTAAATTTCATTTTCGTCATTTCATTCATTCGTTTTGTTTCAGAAAAGAGGAACGAAGATTCACAGACGATAGACATTATATTTAGTTTCAACGATTTTTGTATACAACAATGATTTATTAATGCAAGTGTGCTGGTTCATAATGATATCGATTGTCTTGGATGTTTGTCTTTTGCTTCGAGAACTAAACCGTTTTAATATTTGACATAGTTTCTCTCTCTCTCTCTCTTTCTCACATACGCATACATACGTTCTGTATCCTTTGATGACATTCTATTTACTTCAATTCATGTTGCGCGTGCTAACACCGAAATGATTATTAAATTTGAATGTGAAGTTATAAACAATATGGCGATCACATTTCAAAACGCTTAATTTGTACACTAATTATGCAACTAAATTACGATTGAAATTATATTGTCGATTTGGTCTTACCATTTAATATTTATTCATTTATTAATAGTTTAATGGAATATATATTTATCGGCGTTATATCATCAATATGAAGTACATTGTTTTTTTTTTTTTTCCTAGATCATCCTCATCTACGTCGAACGTCCGGTATTTGTTCTCCTTAAAGAATTTCTAACAGTTTCAGAATTTGAAATGAAGTGCCCTGTAGATTGTATGTGTTCTTTTTATAAATAATAAAAATTTGATTTTTCGATGAATTAAATCTTATCAAATTTCAATTCGGAACTTTCATATTATATTAATAAATGTTGATATCGCAAATTCACAGGACGACGAATCGGACGTTTTATCGAGCGAAATCGTGACTGTTGCATCTCGGGGCGCGTATTTCAATTATTAATGCCGACATCACGTGTCACGGTTATTTCTGGGGGAGGGGGGGGGGCGGAAAAAAGAGGAGAGATATTTCGCATGGCTGGAGGAGGATATAATGGAAATGTAGGACGAGGACACGAGGGAGGGAGGGAGGGGGGGCAAGGGAAGGAAGACAAAGCGACGGAAAGAGAGAGTACACGCGTTCTCGCGGATTTATATAACTGTCGCCGATTCGCGGGGAACGAAAAGCGGTGAGGGGGAGAATCATCTGCATGCGAATCGGTAATCGATCGCGCGCGGATACAGGTCGACCGTTAATAAATTAAGATAACTGCGATTTCGCAGAACGAGAGGGAAAATAGGTTAATGAGACGCGATGGAGAAAATAGTTTTGTGGAGAGGGAAAGACGAACGAGAAAATGAGAAGAGCGACACGTGGAGATTACGGGGATCCAAGTTTATGATTCGTCCGCGGATAAAGTGTGGCGCGCGCCTCAATATTAACCGTATATTAATATCGCCTAATAAATTAATCGCCTAGGCACGATATATCCATTCGATACAGCGAGTGATTAAGTGCGATCCTCTCTGCGCCATTAAATTATCCGAATTCCACGATTCCATGCTTCCATCCATACTTCTTTTACATCTGCAAATAATTTTTCTTTACTTGCTGCATAATATGTCAGCGACTGCCATTCTGAGAGATATATTAATATAAAATTCACCTTGATTTTTTTTATTTAGATAGAACAGTAATGCATTTTTTTATCTGGAATAGGTAGAATTTTTCAAAGGAATCGATTATTTTGACCCGACTTGCCCTCGCGATTTCAGGAAGAGGGCATGACGCACCGAACTCATGCAGTGGCGAAAACACGTGCGCATCAAGTACGGTGGTCGAGTCGGTGTCGGTCAAGGACAGCGGGAGCGGGAGCAGGTGCAGCTGCAGGTGCGCGTGGTGCAGCTGCAGCGGGAAGGGGGCGCACGACTCAGCTACGTCTGTCATCAACCTCAACTCTCGTCGACGGCTCGCCGCAGCTGCAGCGCAGCAACCATGCTCTGCTGTGGCCGCAGGAAAGTAAGTGCAGTAGGAATGCACGATTGACATACGCGACGTACCAGTCATGGTAAACGGCGATCGTACCTTGGAGATCAAGAGGTCGCAAGGGGAATGCGCGAGTCTCTCTACAGGAGAGAGTCCCTCTTTTTCTCTCCTCCTGTTAGAGGATCACACGTCGAGTATCTTTAGAGTAGACCGCTTTCGAGACCGCTTTCGATTCTCAGATTTTCCATATCGACTCAGTGAAAATATCCTTGCAAATACTAAGAACTTTGTGTCTGCAAGCTCGAGTCTAGATCTTGATAAACGCGACGAATCAGAATACGTCAGCGTTCGTTTACCGGAGATCAAGCTGTGCTCTTGTTAAAGATCGCGCGTGTCATTTGTAGCAATTTCGAAAAAGAGAGATCTTTAGAGACAAATGCACATGTCACACATCGCGAACATTTTTCTGCTTGTAATCCTCTCGTGAGAATTCCGACCGATCACGCCCGAGTCACATTTTACGTTAAAGTGCAGACGTGAATCATCTGCCGTGTCATCCATCATGCGTTCATTCATATCGCAACTTTTATCCGATACAATATTGCGCAATGCCAACGATGCAGAAGTTATTCGTATGAGTACACATTTAATTTTATATCCTACGTAGGATGCCCGGTCCTTTCCCCTTTGTACCTTCTGTAGTTCTGTACCCGGTGGGAAAACTTGCGACTCTTGAATCTCGACGTCAAATATGTAATTGATACTATTCAAGCGTTAAATCAAGTTTCCGTTAAATAATTCGCCGCTCAGAAATCATCTGTAAAGAGCGAGATTTTATCTACTCCTAGAAGTTAAATCCGTCGAAAGTTTCACTTCTCGATATTAAATCTTTCATGCTGCGCGCAAGCAGCTTAATTTTGACGAGATTCTGCCAGAATCTTAAATAAGTAATAAAATAATCCGATGATACGTGTCGCGCAATTTTTATTTACAATAAGGATAATAATACGTGTTTATAATGAGGAAAAGTATAATGGGAATAATTAAAATTTAATAAAAATTGCGGGTTTCTTTAGCATTACTCAGAATGCATCACGCGGAAGTACAGCTCACGTAGCATTACTTGATAGAAATTAGGATCCCACAGTTGCGCATCCTGGATAGTGCTAAAGCAGCCTGCAACTTTTATTTGACTTTAATTCTGTTTTAAAACTTATAAAGATCATTTTTTCTTTTAATTTTGAAAAAGACTCGAAAGCAAAGTAATTTGACATTTTAATGTAAAAATAGCGATAATTCGAAAACAATGCATTTCTGGACTTTCATCCGGATCTATTCATCAACCGTTTAATTATTTTTCTTAATTTTGGGTCCCCAATCATTTCTCGATTGATTTTCATTTTTGATACTTGATATAAAATATCTTGATATGAAAATATTTGATATGAAAATTCTGTACAAATGGTTACATGACAGTAATGAGAGAAGAGAATTATTTTTTCGTCTTTTTCGAATTTGAATATTTTCTCGCACTTCTTAAATGGTAAGATACTTTAATACAGTATTAGAAATGAAGAAAAAATTTACATACGCGCGATGAAGTGCGTAGTAAAAGGGTAGGCCTGGGAATAAGAGGTTTACCAAAGTCACTTTCGACCTATAGCTCTCACCCCCTCGCTGTATATCGCAAATTGAGAAACGGCGGCGCCGGAAGTCGTTCAAGATCGACTTTCAAGCGTCGGCTTCGCATTGCCGTCCATTCAATTTGTCTCGATAAATCGTCTGGTGGGCTTCCATCGTGTCAGGCCGGTCGACCAGCCATACGCTTTTCACCTGCTTCTCTCCTGAGGCCTCGATCTTTAAGCAAAATATACGCATCAACATCAAAAAATATTATTATTATAAATATTATTGTTTTGATAAAGAAATACATTCTCACTCTTGGTTCACATTTTATTTCTTTTCGAAATTAGTGAAAGTGAATAAAGAAATATCTTCTTAAAATTAATAATGGTATGAACGGTAAAGTATGTTAAAGAGATACAGTAAAAGCCGAATAAAACTCTTTTCTGAAATTTTTTTTTAAATACTATAAGTCTTAGAAAAAATATTCATTGATACATCGATTAGGTAGATTTTAAGAATTTTTGTACGTGAAAATAAATTAATAAAAATATATGAGTATAGTTTTAATTAAAAATAGGGATTTTTTTAAATAATTTTTTTTCACAAAATGGTTGATTTTGAAAAGAAAATTTAATTTTAAAGATTTTTTATTTTAACGTCTTTAAGCATGTTTTCAAAAATTAAGAAAAAATCCCTATGCTTAACTAAAACTATTCATTTTGTGAAGTTGCTTTTGAAATTTGTAGTCAATTTTAAAGTAAAAAATTGTTCTAGACGCTACCAGTTAAGGAAAAATAATTTTGAGAAAAACGCATTTTCAAAGTTTCAATATCAATTATTTATTAATTGAATTAACTTATTTATCATAGTGAATTTGTTGCTGGTGGAACAAACACGATTAATTACATGATGAAGGGAATTTTTGTAGCCTAAACTTATAGGACTGATCAAGTTAAGCTAAAATTAAGTTAAAGATCGTTTTAGATGACGACAAGTGTGCATATTTTCACTATAACTTACAGCTCGAAAAATATTTCGAATTTTATAAAAATCTTTTAGAAACATACTTGTTTTAAAATATCAATTTTCCGAAAAAAATGTAAAAAAAGAATCAATTTTTTGAAATTGTTATCATAACATATCCTCTTAAAAGATCACTCGGAATTTTCTGCGGATCTCGTTTTGTTACAACGAAACGAAGTAGAACGACGCAACGGTGTAGAATAACTTTAGAAACGTGCCATTAAAAGTATAGTAGTTAATAATGCATAGATATGTGCACTTCTGTGATGCAGTTTAATGCGACGCCCGGATACACGCCTGGCTTATCTAAGATAGGTCATGCTCTTTCTCCGCTTGATTCTCGCGATCGTGTCGCCGTGCTCGATTTACACGGCGGCACGGACCAGTCGAGCGCGTCGGACGGTGTCGCATCGGCGAAGTCGGGATTAATCGGGTTAATGTCACGCGCTCTCACGTGCGCGCTTCACTATCGCCGGCCGCCATGTGCATCCGCAGACCCGATACCAGTGGACGTTCCGAGGATAGCGCTACAATCGGATTTATCACGGCGGTCTCGTCGTGTAAATTTCATAAAATATGTCGCCTCTTGCCGCATTTCCGTACGCCATTGTGGACACAGTCCACGTAATTAACTAATGTCAAGCGTTTACGATTCCATCTGGTCCCGTCCATGAAAATTTTTACTCATTAAAAGTTTGGACTGTGATTCTTTCCTCTGATATTTGTTCTCGTTGAATAATTAAGAGCAAGACAATGTTTAAGTTTTTTATCCTTGGTGGATGACTTTTACATTGAACGCGAAGGCATTTATATATATATATATATTGCTCATGATTATTCTATAATTATGATATGCGCTATGTTTCGCGGACGTTCGATGCGAATTGACGTAACGAGAGTTTAATAATTTAATTGAAGCCTGCAGGTTTATTCCCGAGTAAACAATATTAAAATTTAATAATACATATATAGCAATCATTGCACAGCACGCATGTCTATCGCATGGAAAGCTGCGAGGGACGAGAGACAAGTGCGATAATTTAATAGAGGAGAACGATATGTTCTATTAATCGGCCTGAAAGAGGCTAACGTTTTCCGATATGTCGAGGGTTCGTTCGAAAGTTCAATTGTGAATAGTGTCTATCTGCGAACGTACGCATTGTGAGTC